AAATTATATTCACAGAAAAGTGAAATATATCTGGAAATGTCATATTTCAATTCCCTGAATCATTTTAGGCAAACAATCTTTATCTACATTGCTTAGAATGTTTGCTAAGACACATTTCGGATCATTTAACAAAAGTCATTAAATTGCACCATTTGAATTCCGTTGCAGCACTTACTTAATGATTGCTTTTATAAAGCCCAAATCTGTATTAACTATTTAGAGGAATGCATATGATAAATTTAAACTGGTAGTATTTACATACAAATATATATATGTATATAAAATAAAGTAATTAATTGAAAAATATTGCCAGTTGAGGTAGCAGATGTTCACCCTCACCCCATTTCCAAACTAATGACTTTCATTTGAAACAATTGTGGAGTCCTGTAGCTCAGTGGTTAGACCACTCGCCTTGCAAGCGAGACACCTGGGTTCAATTCCGGGCAGGACGAAACCTTGAGCAAGTTTATTTACTCCTAATAATAATCCCTCCAAAACAAAAACAATAATAAATTGGTCATTTTCAATCCACGACTGTTTGTAGGACACTGCTGTGCGCAATTGGCTGCCGTGTTTCGCCCACAAATATATGGTCAATTCACTTTACAGCATATTCTGTGAAGCGCTTTGAGACGTCAAGAAGACTTGAAAAGCACTATATCAAATGCAAGGATTATTATAATTTTGCATTTAACATATTATATCCTGTAGTTCATCTTTTGAGCTTTCCTGCTTTCAAGCTCTCTTAATTTTTCAGGAACCATCTTAGATTGAAAGGAACTCTACCATTTTATAATTTTTAATAACAGTTCAGTAGCATATTCCAAAAAGCCAAGTGGCTTAAGACAAGCTTTTGCAGTACCAAGTAGAAATCTGTCAGCAATGCAATTTTTCACCACCAGCAAAAAAAATGGCTTCTTTGTGAAGAGTACGTAAGGAAAGATAGCATTTTTATAGCCCCAAACTATGTTACTCAAAGGGTCAAACAAAGATAATTATCTGTGAATTTCAATTTTAAAGACAGGTTTGTGGTACAGCTGCAGAATGGAGATGTAGTGGAGTTCTGTCCTTGAAGTTTATTTGAGAGAGTACACTTTAGTGCAGGTAAGTAATGGGGTTGATGTTTGTTCTATCGCCATCTTAAAACAATGTACAATGAAAAAAGGCTACATTTTAACAACATTTAATGCTTGAGTCACTTTGATCTCATTATGCCATAACGTAAATCAACAAGTGATTAAACAGTGGAAAAGAGAAGGAAATGTATCTCGGGAGACAATTAGTTGTGCCTCTAGCAGGTAATTTGGATGATACAAAGTCTATAGATAACCATTTCTGGAGCAGTAACTCATGTATGACGTAAGCTATTTTCTGTATAACATATTCATGGATGGCAGAAAAGAAATGTTTCTACGGCTTTAGTTGCAAAAATGATTAATATGTCAGATTAGAGACGTTAAGTGCAAGCTGTAAAAGATGGTGAGAATAAACTTTTTTTAAAACAAGAACTGGAAAACATGGAATATTTGAGAGTTCAATAGATTTTGTAATAGGTCACATAGCCTTTGAGCTATCAGACACTGCTTATTAGAAGCGGTTGATATAGTGAACATGGTTAGATTAACACACGGCCTAACTGTGGTTTAAGGGCATGATAAAAACGCAAGGCAAGGCACTAGCAAGATAAGCTTGTAGGCGAGTAAAGCTGTAATTGAAATAAAAAGAATAACACAATGGTGCTTAGATTGATGAAAAATGCTACAAAGGTAAAGGAATTAATCTCTGTATTCAATCAATTGCTAAGTGTTCCAGAAATAGCTTTCATCTGTCAAGATAATCGCCTCATAGGAAACCCCAAGATGTGACCCTAAAAGGTGCAAATTGATGTTATTATTAGTCAGATTCCATCTAATTACCCAGATGCAGGCTATTGTCTGACCAAATCATTGCAGAAATGAAAATGAAATAAGAGACTAATTAGTTTAACTGAATATAACAACAAGAAGGAAGGAGTGAATTCCTGTCTTCCAACAACAATCCTTTAATTGATATACCAAATCTTATCACGTCTTCAAAACATTTCAAAGTGCTTCACAGGATTTTAATGTAAAGTGACTGTGTATTTGTCGGCGAATTTGAACATGACACTGTCCCACATATAGTTTTGAAGTGAATGGCCAGGACACCAGGAAGAACTTTGGTCTCTTTTTGACCAGAGCCATGAGATCTTTAATGTCCACCCGAATAGGCAGATGGAACCTCAGGTTAATTCTCATCTGGAGATCAGCATGTCCGAGGATACAGCAGTTCCCCAGTGGTGCTTCGGAGAGTCAGCCTAGACTATGAACTGAAAGTCATGACATGGCCTTCAACCTACAACCGTCTGACTAAGAGGCAAGAGTGCTACCAACTAAGCCAGGCTGACATTTGGTAAAGACACATGATCATGTGAATGGTGCAAAGTATAAATGGCAGAATTCCATTCTTTAGTATTTCTGCTGCCCAGAAAACAAAATATCACCCTTCAAAGGTGAAGTAAATCAATTTGTGAAAAGCCCAATCCAATAGCGATTAAACCAAGAAAATGCTAGAAACAGGAAATGCAAGGTAACAGCCAGGATACAGTTGCAAAAGATCATCAGACACTGCACAGTGCAAAGAAGAAATGCATGGCCAAAGGCAAACAAAAAAGGACTTAATTATATTAATGCACCATCCCATAATGCCCATTTGTTCACTTCCAGTTAAAAGTTATCCAAACTAAAATTCAGAGAGAGTTAAAAACAAATTCAAGATGACACCCAATGAATGCTAGAACAACAGCTGCTGCTGCAACCTCACCAATGTTTATCCTTCTCGTTGCCTGAACTGAATAACAAATGACTATTGAAAATGAATATTTGAATAAATTCAGTTGAGAATTTGCAGTATGCAAAAGGTGTTCCCTATGAATCAAAGCTGACATTTAACAAGGCTGCTGTGTGATACAAGCCTCAGCCGGACTGTCAAGAACAGACACAAATCACTAGGAGGTGATCATACTATTGGGTTAATTCCACCAGTAATCAAACACACCCATCTCCAAGCTTCTTACACACCAGGGACCAGTCAAAGGAAAAATATGTATCCTTTACATTTTACCACAAGGAAACCTGATGCACATTACCTTCTAAACTACCAGAACAAATGCTCCTTCACTAAACGACCATCAAAATGGATACAAACCACTTGAGTCCCACTTCAAAAAAAATTATATTTACGTTGTACATAAAGTGGATCAAAACAGCCAAATTTGGTGCAAACCAATATAAAATATTAAGTTATTTTGCACATGTGCACTGTTTTCTTAGAGACAGACTGTCTGAATTAACCTGAATTTGATCAACTTGAATTCAAATTCCCATTGAGGTTATTAAGTGAATTCCTAGTTGTTTGTCTAGTTGTCAGTATTTAGCGTTAACAAACTTTCAATGAATATTTGTCCTGAATGGGATTTTTTGAAATCATTCCTCAGGTAGGGACCATTGATTTTATATTGAATATTATGTGGAATAATCAGATACATATGCAATCATAAAGGACAATGCACGGTGCAGAAAAGTGCAAGAGGAACAAATACTGTAATTTTAATACAACATATTTCAGGCAATACTAGTTTATAAGCCAAATAGCTTCCTCTTAATACAATCTATTCTTATCAGAAATTAAGTGCAATCGCTCTGCATGAGTTTAATTTGATCACTTACAATTTACGTTAAAATGAAATAGGTTCTACATCTTTGTTTTGATGTGAAATTAAGATGAATGTTTCCTAAGCAGTGCTCCAGTTTTATTGGAGTAGCAAAGCTTCTATTCCAAATATGGACAATAAATAGGACCATTAATGGCTTGTATTTTATTGCCATGCTTCTACAGCAGAGTGCCTTTGAACCAGCTCTGTTCTTTGCCCAGATGTAAATAACCTGGCCTTTGCTGCAGAGAATGCTGGGAATGGGATATATGGACTCAGTTGTGAACTTGCTAAATGACATGACAGCAAGAGAGGCTCAAGGCAATATTGTGACACATCTTGTTCTTTAGGGATTGGTATACTGTAGCCATAATTAATTGAAATAGTTATGGTGATATGTTCGACGTTGCTCAGCCATTTAATCTGAGATAAAAGAACAAATTTAATTATAGTTTTTTAAGTTAAAATGTCTGTACCACAAGAAAATTTGAGATACTGTCTTCTATATTCAGCAATGTAAGCGCTTAATTTCATGAAGATAACCTGCTCTGCTATAAAGCTGCATTCCTTCTCAGTGTTTCTAAACTAACACAGAAGTTAAATAAAATGAGATTTCTCACCTATCAGGTTCCATTAAAGGTGCGAGTCAAGATCTGCACTTATTTCAATGTACAAAATACTCTGTATGCATTGAGCATAAGAGCATAAAGCATGAATTTGTAATTCATATATCTCTCATGCGAGCAATCTTGTCCTGAGGACAACACAAAACTAGAAGCGGCAATAATGGCTGAGAAATTATTCAATGTGCCTCATTCTGGAAGCTTAAGGGTCACGGTGATATTTTTCTCGCTGCTCTCCATCTGATGTTCTATGCAACAGGCTGACTGCCTTTGACTTTTAATTTTTCTTTAACCAAAGTTCCAACAGCTACATCACAAGGGAAACAGCTGAACTATGCTCAAGGTTTCCTTTCAAATTGCTCTAATGGAAGCTTTATAGTCCAGAAACTTATTTTTGAGAAAAATCTCAGGGAACAGGTTTGCAAACCTGATATGTTATCAGGTTATAAAGCCCTCTGATATGTTATCCTACTTGAATGGAGCTATATAAATGCAAGTTGTGCTACTCTATTTTATATATATATAACGGAACTCCTAAGAAACAAAATTCTATAGAGAGGTATTCTCAGATGCAATTGCTGCACTGTTATGATACTGAAGTACATACACTGAATATCATTCAACTTAAAATGTATTTATTTCACCAGATGAAATGAATGATCACCAGAATACTCTGTCATACATTCTCATCAATCCTTCCCCAGATATGAGACTGGGACTGAATGATATTGTGTAAGTATTTTTATTTTTTTATATATACTTATATATAGTCAAACAAGAGCTTGCAGCCAGAGTTATCTATGACGAGGGCAAATGCCACATAAAATTAACCATGGTGGTTGCTCAAAACCAAAAAAAAGCTAGTGAATTTGTGGTGGAGTATAGTTTAATGCATGTTAAAGGAGCACTGGCTGAGCAGATGATGTTTAGCTTTGCATTTGAACTCTTTCACTAAAAGAACAGAGCTCCAGGCAAATGCACTCTCACTGAGAGAAAACATGATGTGTGAAGATTTGCTCCTAGCGCTTATTTTACATTCAGAATGCAACTGCGCCCGTTCTTGTGCTCCCAGAATAAATATGGGAGCCTGACAAAAGCTAGCAATATTTAGGATGTTGCTAATGTGGTCATGATTTTACCGAGCACTGACAGTCAAGGTACATCTCCACAATTTTGTAGAGAATACACTCTGGCAATGAATGAGCCATTCTAAGCCAGTCTACTGGCCTGTATGACTGCACTGAAATGACTCAGTGCGTCCAAAAGCAAATGGCGTATTAACTCTGCAGTCCACGAATATTGCAACACTGGGGTTAGATGTAGGCTTTGTTCAGCATTGTTGTTACCAACTGTGGTAAGTAAGGTTGGATGTTACTGAGAATTTATATTCTTCTAAGAGCTCCAGGTCTCAGTCACCAGTAGGCAGAACATAGCTTGGACATGCCTATAAGAGGACAAGCCTCTAATGACTTGTCTATTCCCCTGTAAGCAAAATAATATCACTTCCTTTTCACAACATGGAATCATATCATAACTGCAATTATTATTATACAAAACATTACCATTTTGAATGTCACAGCTTTGTTTTGTTTTTACTTTATTCTTAGCCTGTTTCGATTCTCTTTTTCAATTACATTTCTATTTTCATCCACAGCTATCTGATCCGGCCTGATCCTCTGGCTTATGTCCCAAACAGTACCCATAGTCGTAAGAGCAGCGTCTGCAACAATAGCGGAGGTGGACAGGACACAAAGGATGAAACCCAACTTTAAAATCACTCAATATTCTGAAAAATCTTTAGAAAACCCTTACGTTTCTAAAAGTAATACAGTTTTCAGCCACCACTTATCTTTTAAAAAAAAGTTGAAACAGATGTGTATGAAGTAACAGTTGTTGAAAATAGTTTACCTGTGACTAAAGAAATTAAATCAGCATATTTTAAGCAGTGCAAATCAATCTCACTCAGAGTATTGCAAATACCTTTGAGCCTTCGGTCAATAACTAGTCTTTGTATGCTAACAATGTCGTACTGTTTCAATAAACTTCATCATCAATCTCTTTGAAAACCCACATGACTGAACAGAAGAAATATAATGAAAGGTATTGCACTCACAGATCTATGGCTGCTGCAGGAGTATTGAGGTCTGACAGCCAATTGTTGGCAATTAACACACCGGGAATAAATATTAGTGGGTAAACCAAGTTTATCACAAGCTAATTTATATTAAAATTAATACACAAGGATTATTGAATAAATAATGTTAAACATATAGGTATATTGAAATCTACATATAAAATTGTGTATTTTATCCATTATTTGTCATCTTGTATTAATTGGTTAAACATTGCACGGCTCTGGGTTTGAATCCAGGTCAGTCAACTCAGCACTTCACTCTTTCAAATGCTTTGTATGGGTAACCCATGTAGTTATTATTTTGTTCTCCCTTCTAATCAATAGGTATCAACAACAATAAGTTTATAGTCAGGGTGCTCCAGAAAGAAATGTCATTTTAGACAAGGTCAGGTAAAACTGTCAAATGAGGAACACCATCCAAGCTTCGCTAATACAGGTGGATGCAATGTTCTCTTTCAGCCCATTATGTTATTGAGGAAGATACAAAATTAGTTTCCACTTTAAATCAATAAAAGCAAGAATGCTCTTCAATCGTGCTTTCGATCTCCCTGCTTCCCCCCTGCCCTCCCCCACCCTGACCGTCAGCTCGGGTCCGTAACTCTTATAATAATAATAATAATCCTTGCATTTGATGTAGCGCTTTTCACGTCGGGAGGACGTCCCAAAGCGCTTCACAGAACACACTGTAAAGTGAATTGACTGTATATTTGTGGGCGAAGCTTGGCACTATACAAATGTAATTTTGTTGTTGTTGTTTATCTTTTAGCTTGTCTTTTGTATTTCTCTTACTTTTTTTCATGTTTTATTTTTAAAATTTCGAGCCTCCTTGCAATATATGGCAGGTTCCTTTTTTTTAAGAAAAACACACTAATAGAATATTGCAAAAAAAAGGTGTTGAAAGTAGCCATATTTCTTCGATTTGTTTTCAAATTGTTTCTTTTGGTAAAACTCCCTTAAGAGTAAAACAAATCCCCAGGTACCTCCACGTAGCGAATACTCCAATTAAAGGCAGTGCTGTTTTTGCAGTATTTTACTGAAATTTGCATTTTGTTATCAAGCAGAAAGAATCCACGCAAAACAGAAGAAGCTGGAAAGAGTTCTTCAAGACCCCTTAAATTAAGTGCACTCCCATAAGCTCCCTTATATTGGAATTCATCATATTCATGCATTACTTATAAATTGCATTCAATTACTTTAGTTTGTTTATTTTAATAACATAATTAGAAATGGGCACTTGAGGATGATTCATTTAAATTTGTGATTCAGAGATGATTCCGTACTTCTTGGGCATCACACAATGCAATCATGCATAAAAATGCATAAAATTGAGCAGTCTGTCAAAGTCTCCCATTCCAGCAGTTACCATTTAAAAACGTTCTGATCAGAAAGAACTGGAAAATGTTGAAATCTCACTTTCAAAGACACAGTATCATTTGATTTTGTCCCATCAATGATTTTTGAGGTCTTTCATTTTTTATTTCAGCTTTAAAATTCTTTTTTTTTTTAGTAATAGTTTTTTCTGGTATATCCCCAATTCTGCTGCATGCTGATGTATCTGTGAAAGGACGAAGGCCAGAGTAGAGGAATTAGATTCATATTCTGGATTTTTTTTGTTCAATGAACTTTGGGCGACAGGGAGAATCGATACAGAAATTTCCCTCACAAGATAGGTTAGAGGAATAAAGTAAGTATTTCTACGGAGTGTGAAAGAAGCAGGCTGGAGAGGTCCTTGATCTTTTATCTGCACATCTCATCACAATGAAAATGATAGCTTTTCAGACTCTTCCCCTCCACAAAGGGTTGACAATACTAATTCATGAAGAAAGTACCCTTTATTTTCAGTGTACCGAGAATAGAAAAGTAACAGCATGATTGTTGAAAACATAAGGAGGAGAAAAATGTATGGATTGATGAGGTCAGATACAGAAATACTGGGGTTTTGAGCAGCCAACCTGACCAGGAAAATAATGAGCAAGGGAAGTTTAACTCAGAGCCAGTCTGGATGATTATATGTTTCCATAAAGAAGTACAAGAAACATTGGTGTTTCTATTAGCAAGGTGATAAACATTTCACTTTAAACAAGGCAATTCAAAAAGAGGTATTCAAAATTATGAGAGGTTTTGGCAGAATAACTAAGGAGAAGCTATTTCCACTGCTAGGGGAGTCAATGACAAGAGCATATGGATGTAAGAGGAGCTTAGGAGAAATTTCACACAGAGTGAATTCCCACATGTGGAATGCCTTGTCAAGTGAGGGTAGAAGCAAAATACATTGTGAGTTTCAAGGGGAAAGCAGACAGATGCATGAAAGGAAAAGGCTTGAAGGTGGGTGGGGATAGGTTAAGGCAGTCGGATTGAATGAACAGCTTCCTTTGAGAGCCAGAGCACACTGAGTGGGCTAAATGATCTCCTTCTGTGCTGTACATTTCTATGATTCTGAGAGAGATGGCCAACAGACTTGTACTACCTGTAATAAACTGGTATGAACTTAATGCATCCCCTGGTTATAATGAAAATACTTTGGTATATCTGTATTGTATCTGTAACTATGCCTCATGATGCACTGAATCACAAAGAGTGTTCAATCCAGGCCAGCAACTTGCAGCCTGTAATTTATTTTTCACAATTATTAAAAAGAAAAGTTTGTGACATAAATCATTTTGGAAGATGGTGCGAATTTGAACAGATGGAATTAGCTGTGGTAAATTCCATCAGTTCAAACTATAAACGGGGACAATAGCACTTCAAGGCAGATTAACAGCACTTTCGGTCCAGATGAAGAAAGTTCTCATAAAAGTACAAATGGGTTGTTTGAGAGAAAGAAGAGGAAATTTGCTGCAACATGCAATAATCCAAGTACAAAACAGTTGAAAACCACATAGACTGCATTCAAGTTACTTGTTATTGAGTTTTTGTAATGAAAGCTGCAAAGAAAAAGATGCAAGATGGTAGGAGTAGAAAGTGGAAAAGGTCACTTGACAACAGAAAAAAAATACTTGGGTCAGTGTAATAGAGACTAAAAATGAACTTGCTAACAGGAAGCTTCCCGCATGTGGGAAAACAGTGGAGTGTTAGTTAGAATCTGCTGATGTTTAGTCCAGGTGCCTGTGAACAAGCATTGGTCTGATTTTAAACAAGCTAAACTTGACCTGGCTCATCCATGGTCAATTATAACATTGTGTTACATAACTGTTACTGTAGTCTTCAAAATACATTTCAAAGCGGCCAAATCTGTTCTGTGAGATTGTTTGTCTCTTCTGTAATCCTAACAACATATTGAATCTTATGCCACGGTGAATATACAATACTGAAATTGTTTAAACAACATCAGGCTCTGTGAAAGACTGCGAGACTTCAAGATGTTGCCTGGATCTTTCTATTATAGTTTTATGAAAGATCTGAAGGAAACCTTTGCATCAAAATAATTGTACTTTTCCCATTTCTGAACAATATTTTGATACACCTGTGATCTGTAATATCTGGCTTTTAATTGCGAGAGAAATATTGCTGTTTCATTTAGAAACCATGCAATTTGCCAAGTGTAGAAATTTTGCACAGGTTTTCATTTTGCAAAGTACTACATTTTTTATACTGTATGTGTAAGTGTCAATTAGTGGATGTTTTACTGTTTGTAATACTGATTTATCAGGGCATTTTTGTCATTAAAACAAAGGAACTAATGACATTTCTCAAGTAGTATGGCTTCTGTCTTGTCAACATTTGCGCTCAAGTTTGCATTCATCCAGGCCCTGATGTCTGCCAGACAAACCGACAGAACAACGGTGAACCTAGAGTCTCAGCTGGAGGAGGAAAAGTAGATGACGTTGCCAAGAGGGAGCATATAGATGGGGAAGAGGAGAATGCCAAGGATGGGAGCCCTGGTGTATGCCACAGATGACTGGGCAGGGGCGGGAGGAGAAAAAGTGAAGGCAGTTTGTTTGGTAGCACTCGAACCAGGCGAGTGCAGTCCCACTCAGGTGAATAAGGGTAGAGAGGTGGTGGATGAAGATGGCTTGGTCAACTTTGTTGAATGCAGCGAAGAGGTCCAAGAGGATGAGAAGACAGAGGGAGCCCTGGTCACAGAGAGAGAGAACATCGTTTGTGACTTTGACAAGTACCGTCTCTGTGCCATGGGCAGAGCAGGAACCAGACCGGATGGGGCTCAAGGAGGGAGTGGAGGGAGAGATGTGAGCAAAGCTGGTTAGCGACAATGCGCGTTCCAGAGCCTTGTCAATGTGTTTTCATGAAGGGAATGCAGTATTAGCCTAGGTAGCACAAGAAATGGCTGCTGTTACGGCTGGTTGTCCAGCTACTTGTAACACGTATTGTTCTCCTTTGGATTAGGGACATTTTTTCACCATTAGTCAATTATTCAATACATATCTGTAGCTCAGTGGTTAGAGCACTCGCTTTGCAAGTGAGAGACCTGAGTTCAATTCCAGGCAGGGCAAAACCTTGGGCAAGTTTCCTTACTCCGCACGCCTAATAATAATCCCTCCAAAAAAAAACAATAATAAATTGGTCATTTTCAATCCATGACTGTTTGTGGGACATTGCTGTGCACAATTGGCTGCCGTGTTCGCCCACAAATATACAGTCAATTCACTTTACAGTATATTCTGTGAAGCGCATTGGGACGTCTAGAAGACGTGAAAAGCGTTATATCAAATGCAAGGATTATTATTATTATTAAAGTAGACTAATCTTACAGAATACAATCAAACAGCGATGGGAGTTCATGGGACATGCTCACAGTAACCTTGGTACCAGCAGTGGTACTACCTGAATGTAGCAAATCACATCCCATTCATTCCTATTATATAGCATTCTTCCTTACTCCAAGGAGAAAACTCAAATTGTACAACCTGCTGGGTTTTATGGTCATCCAGTTTCGATACCCAGTCAAGATGCTGTCAAACTGCTCCCATGTAGGAAAACACATTTTAGAAACTAATTGCTTGTGCATAATGAATGGTATTCTTGTGTGTTCGTTCTGTTTGGATTGATTTGCTGAATGCATAATTATCTGGGCTGTGTAGCGGTTCAAACATTTGTCAATTGATGCTTTTGATCAACAGTTTATAGAAATGCTTTGTCACCTC